AATATAAATAAAAGAAGAAGAAAAATGAACGCTGATAAGAGTGTAAAATACCATATTTTCCCCTCTTAACTATTGCATTCATGTGATTATATTATGCCAAAATGCACTCATTACTCTTATATTTTGATTTAGGTTGTATTTTGGTGAAAAAGATGAAATTCGGAAGAAACAAGTGAAAAATGACCAAAGTAGAAGAGAACGAAAGTTCGAGGACTAAAGTGCAAATGATTCAAATTTGTGTCCAAGATTATGATGAAGATTCAAAAGTGTTAGAGGTCAAGTGGATGAGGAAAGAAGTCAAAGGGATGAAATAACATTAAAGTTTGATCAATACATCAATTTCCAATCGAAAACTAACACACCAGTTTTTAGTCTCATGTTGGGACCCATTTTTGACATGGAAGATGATCGAATTGACTTCTGAATAAAAATTGTGTCCCTTTGAGTTAGCTATCCAATGCAACTTGAATCACCTTAATTGGATATCGGGAAAAAAAGTTATGATTAAAACACTGAAAGCTGTCTGGCTGAACCATGCGGCCGCATGCCTTTCTACTATGCGGTCGCATACACCTATACCGAGAATTCAAGAGGCTGAAAGTACATAACCATGCGACCGCAATGACAATAACCATGCGGTCGCATAGTGTTTTTTTGGCGGCCGAATCTCAGTTTTCTTATACGATTGAATCTCTTATGGTAACCTAATTTTCACGGGATATAAATGCCCAAAACCACCCAGAATGAAGGGAGACGCCCCCAGACCTATTTCTTTCATCTTGGTGCTCAAGAAACTCCATGGAAAACTAAGGAACTCGGTGAAGCAACGAAGAAACTCATTGGATTTGGAGATTTCACGTCATAATTTCATGTAATTTGAACTCTCTTTGCTTAATAGTTTCTAGATTTGGATTTTCTCGTTATGAATTAGTATTGAAATTTATTTAACTTTTAATAAATTTCTCATGGATTCAATCATGCTTTTTCCATTGTTAAATTAAACTATTTGTTGAGTTTCAATTTAAATTACTTATTGTTGAGATTATTTTAACTTTTATCAAATCCTTCATAGATCTAGTCATGCTCTTTCTATTGAATGACTGAAATATTTTTTTATTTTAATCTTAATATCACTTTATTGGTGGATTGATTACTGCCTTATGCCTGACGTATATGGTCGATTTTTGATCTTATTCCAATAAAAATGTGCGAATGTGTTATAGAAAATCTAGATTCTAGAAACATAATTGGAATAAAATTGGACTTCACTGTTAAATCTTCCAATTAGAGAGTTGGGAAGAAAACCTCTAATTGAGTAAAAATACATGAATTATTGATGTTGATTGATCCAATCCAATGGGGGAACTCCGACGCTTCACTAATTCGCATATTGATAATTAATTTTTATTTCAAGTGACAAATCATTCCCACATTTAATTACGAAAACCCTAGTTTATTGATCTTTTGAGAATTTTTTCATCTCCCTGTGGATACGACACCCCAAAGCTGTACTACAATCACCGCGTTATTCTTTGGGCGTAATCAAACGCCCAAATACCTCTATTATAAAATAAATTTGGCTTGGGAATCTGCCCCCAAACCCTGGAGCATGTCGATCCGCAATTGTGGAGAAAAGTGGAAAGTATAGACTCTACCTAGCTATACTCTCATTTGTTCTGTAATAGGAGTGCTGTGATTTTCCAGAACTTGTTTTGTGAATAAATTTTTGACACGATAATTAGTGCCTTGATCCTGGCTTGTTCATTACTTGTCATAGTTGAATTTGTCGGAAGGCCAGAAAGCTTGAATGAGCTTGGCTTGATCCTAACAAGCTTGTGAACCTGCATTCCTAATAGGTTTTATATTTCGACCTAGTTCTTGTTTGTTTTCATTTTACAACTCTAGGGGGGTTATAATTTCTTCATCATCCGCTTTACAGGCATGTTTACCCTATCTAACCTTGGAATGTTTGGTGTCGACCGCTTTTGATGGCATCTTACCTCCAGGAACTGTAAGTCTTACCTCCAGGAACTGTAAGTGTTGAAACTTTTAAGTGGCAAACCATTCTTTCCTTTAAATTAGTCGAGTAGGTATTGTAAATGATCTCTTTAAATGCCTTAGAGAGCATGTTTGCCTAAGCTTATTTAATGGCATTTTCATGGTGCAATAATGGCCATTTGTGCTTCTCAACCCACTCTAATCGGTGCAAAGGATGGTTGGATTGGCTTGGCTTGAAAAATCAAATGCAGGTAGATGCTTGGTCGTTAATGCTCGTTTATAGTGCTTATAAGTTGTGGGTCTACAGAATATGGGATGATAAGTAGGTAGTAAATTGTGAATCTTACGAAATGTGTGAATAAAAAATATGTTTGACTAACTTAAATTATAATTTAAGCTTTGCCAAACATGCTCTTACCTATGACTTTTATTCCTTTTTATTAACCAAATCTTCTTGTTACTTTTTTTAGTGACCTTCGAATGCAATTCTTCCAGGTAAATGTTATTGCAGATCATCATGTGATATATGGCGCTAATTTGGCTGCTTTCTTGCAAGCCTTGGCTAAGATAATCGAGGACCCTAAAGATCTCATTCTTTAGTTTCGTATCGCCTCAAGAGGTTCAAGTTTTTGTTAGCATATTAAGATTGTCTACTGGAGCTTCATGGAGTAACATTGTTTAAGAATTCAGAAGTTAAGCCTTTGTTTGTTAATCATTCCATCACATTATTTTTTCTACAATACTTATTTTCAATTACACATTTTTCATTAAATTAATATTACATATAAATCAATTTTTTTTCTTTTTTAACAACACATTTCAACATCAATCACTATTCTATAATACACTTTTTGAAATTAAAGGGGCACAAACAGGCCCTAAATCTCCTTTGAAAAAAGTCGGAATCTGTTCAAACTGTCAAATAATTGATTCTTCATTCATAGTCTTCTTGATCAAGTATTCTATGTTGTAAAGCTTAAGCTATATTTGTTCGATAATTTCATTTTGCTTGGCATGTAGAAGTTGTGACACTAAGCATTAACGTTGCAAAGACCAATGCACTGATTGCTGTACAATAGAGTTGTAATTTGCTAATTATTCTAGATGCTCGCCATATCTGGAAAAAAACCCAAAATTTCTCTTTGTCAACTGTTTTTTTTTTCTGTTTTTTTTAATTTTTTTTTTTTGTCAATATACGTTGAGTTGATAGAAAGTGAACAAAGTTTTAGCCCCCGTTTGAGCTACATTATTGTAAAAATGAGAATGAAAAATATAATCGTTATGAGTCCCACACAAGAGATACAAAGTCAAATATAGTGGCTTGATGTGACAGATAACGGTCATATTTTTCATTTTAATGGAAAAATAATTGGGCTCAAACAGGACCATAATATATTTCTTCAAACCATCATATGATGTTTGTGCTTGTTCTTGTCAAATAAATTAGTACTACAGTTAAACTTGTTTGGTAAGTTGGATTGTAATTGACAAATTTAAGAGCATGTTTAGTTGAGTTTTAAAAAAGTTACTTTTAATCTCCAAAAATGCAACTTTTACTTCGAAAATGACTCTTTTCCATCAAAATTAGTTGGTTATTTGTTTCCAACTTTTACAAATAATTAAATTATTTATTTATAAATTATGCATATGCAAACTTTTTAAGCTCAATCAAGCATGCTCCATAGATGAAAAAGAAGTTAAAATTTTATTATTGTTATTGTGCTATCTAGGAGTATTCAATACTACATATTTTGCTGACTAATTGTCCAAACTAGGCCTAAATATCAAAGTTTCACATGCACACTAAGGGGGTGTTTGGTGGGATTTTTAAGTCAATTAAAATCAATTTTTTGACCGTTATTTCACTATTTCAGTCGTCATTTTTGAATTCTTCTCTTATACGTAGAGCCCACTTTTATTTCTAACAGTCAAAAAATCAATTCTCAAAATCCCCACCAAACACCCTCTAAGTTTGTTTGTTTTATCAAATATTTGAGACATGCAAAATCTTAATGAATAAGTAGGTAGTGTTTCGATCTTTTATTTTATATTAATCATTTTATTTAAAATGCTTAAACCGTTCAAAGAGTTGTCACGTCAATTTGCCTCCTCATGTGTTACTTATTATACATGCGCAATTTTCATAATTTAGTAATAGCAAAATTTGAACTCAAGTCAAGCTCCATTACTTGATGGCATTCAGTTACAAGTACTCATATATAACCATCTAATCACAGCTAGCATGCTATAAAATGTGGTCACAACGTTTTTAAAAGAACATTATTTTGTGGATAATGTCCCTCAACTGGATAATACAACTTTGAATGGGACCCACCCAAAATTAATGTCCCCAATAATCTTTCACATAAACAAGGTAACAAGTTGTAGCTGTTGAACTAAAAATGTCCAAACATAATCAACCACCAAACCTTCCATACTGCCAACCACCCCGTTAATTCTTCACGTCCCTTTATTATACAATCCAGCCACACAAATCCGTGGCCATTGAACAAGATGAAACGATCGCTGATTCTCCACGGCGCTCAATTGACTCGCCATCCCTCTGGCGCCCCACTTCCATCCCTGCCTGGTTCTTGCTAGAACTACAAGATCTTCAAAAGCAATAAAATGCTTAGGCCCCGTCTGGTACCCATTTTGTAAGAATGAGAATGAAAAATATAGTTATTATGAGATCCACACAAAAGATAGAATGTCAAATATGATAACTTGATGTGATGGATAACGATTAAATTTTTTATTTTTGTGGCTAAAGAATGAAAATCAAACAGGGACTTATTTTTTTCTAATTTTCCAGAAAGCAAGTGTCCATTAGATTTTGACAACTTTAAGGTTTTAACATAGCTTATTTGTACACCTCTGTTAGGTGAAGATATATCAGAATCAGCCATAAGTTTTCTTGAAAACTCTTCATTCAAATCCTCCCACAACATGTCCATTTTTTCCTCCTTGTTATCAACATTGTCTTCGTCTTCTTCTCTTCGCTCGATCTTCATACTGCGCAATAAGTTCTTTCTTCTATTGTTGCTGCTGCAAGTTTCTTTGCTTACTAATCTTTCTGGTTTTTCATGTGGTGGGGGGTGGGTACTGGGCCGGTTTTGGGCCGAGGCAAGTGAGGCCCTGTTCGGGCCCAAAAATTTAAGGGCCTCATTTTTGAAAAAATACCAAATCCCTAATTTCCGTAACCCGTTTTCCCTTCACTTTGTCCCGATTACGAGAGGCGAGAAACAAGAAAGGCAAAACCCACGTTACCCACCCGTACCTCGATTAAAGGTAGTGGAGTTCTGGTGATTAATTCGTCTTCTTCTTAGGTATCGCAAATAAATTGGAAATTCTGTATAACAGTTCATCATAGATCCGAATTCTTTGATTGGTTCAGAATCTGCGTTTTGCCGTACCCGAAATCGGAATCTAAATCTGGTGTTTGTTTATGCTCATCTAATAGTCCTGTGGCCTCCGAATTCCTCTGGTAAAACGTGTGCCTTTTATTCATGCATGTGTGGCGTTGTGCAAATGCAGATGTTTGTATGTGTTAGAATTATTGAAATTTTAATAAAGCAGTACGGAATATTAATTGGGTACATTTTAATTTTTTTGTCTTTTGTAATCAATATTCGAGTTTGATTTTTCTTAAAAACTAATTTAAATGTTATTTGTGTTTAGAGCTTGTAACTTTTCCAATATGAAAGGGAAACCTGGTCATAGATATGCAATCAGCAGTGTATTGGTAGAGGATTTGGGAGTTAATCATTGCAGCTTAGTTGAGACAGTTAGATAATTAATTTAATTAGTTTATCATTCTCTGTAGTTCCGTTTGAAGATAATAAATTCAGAAAGGGATCTTTATTTGTTGAAGTGGCTAGTGGGTGAAGTGAAATAATTTCTTTCTATCAATTTGTAGGATCGAAGAGTGTGATACAGTCACAATTTTATTGAGATACTTCATTATCTCTTAGAGTTTTATAAACCTTTTTAAGTCAGCTTCTTTGCAACTTGTTCTTAGAAGTTCGGTACTGCAGTTACTATGACAGGTTCAGTAGAACTTAAAAGCCAAGTAATTTAGCAAGTGATAGTGACATTGTGCATTCAGGTTGCAGAATTAACAAGTTCCAGCCAAAGGAAAAAAGAGCACATCACAAAAACATACATGACTAGGAGGAGCATCATCATCATGCATATGAGTTAAAAAGTATAAAATTACATAAACGGCTATGAAGTGCGTAGTTGGAAGTTTGGACTTGCTAGATGTAATGCTTTTCTATGATATCTTAAACTAAATGTCAAAATCAAATAGTAGGGGGCTTAGCCCACCCGCCTACCAATCAAAGAGGCTGAGAGTAGGCGTACACTCAGTCAAAAATGCTTTCACCCGACGAGAATGCCAAAGAGGGAGATATAAGGAGGGGCCCCAGAAGATTCTTTTTCTGTCTCGGACCCCATTGAGAAAGAAGGTTCCCCACCCTTTGACCCTCATTTAGGGAAATGGCATTTTCTGAATCCTTGTGTTTCCAAACCAATATTTACCATAATTTTTTTTTAGGTCTTGATAAAAAATAAGGCAAAGATGCCCAAGTGCAGTACATTGTCTTGTAAGAAGTTAAGTTATTCACAGGCCTGGTGACTGAATAAATTACATAGAATAGCATTTGACGTACACTGAGGCATGATAACGGGTGGGAATGAGTCTAACGATTCAACACCATAATCCACTAGCTGCCTCTGTGCTTCCAACTCTCTCTGGATTAATTTACCATAACCACCTCTATGTGTGTCTAGTTGAGGAAATTGAAAAGACATACAATATCCTAGTCAAATTTTATTAAAAATTAAGGAACAACAGCATTTATATGTAGCATCCGGCATAGTGTTCTCTTTCCTTGTATTCCCAAAAGGCATGAATATCATGTAATGAGCAAAAACCAATTTATGATGAATATAGACAGTATCTGACACGATAATGGCCGTTTATCTATGGCACTGCCCATCATGCTTACATTAACTTGACACTAAATCATTAACAATTCTAATCGAAAGATTTAGGGAAGTGCAGTGCTAAAGACAGTGAGCTAAGTGTCTGTTAACCCTCTGGTGTACTAGAGGCTCCTCAATAATTATCATTTTGCCTCTATCAGGTTAAAAATTTGAAAAGAACTTCGCATACAGACAACAAGAAACCCAATTCAAATGATAAGCATACAAGTGCATATATTCATCCAGGATTGACATGGGATGACGGTATAAAATCAAAAAGTACCGTTAGTGTGACATAAGAAGGATATCTGGATCATAATCAGTATGATACTCGCCCCATACCTGAAGAAATAAAAATGATTTAGATAAAGTCCTACATTTAGAGAAGAGTGAAATTTTAGATGCATCACCTGCCCACCCCTTTTACCACGGCCCCATTGCCTGCCTTCTTGAAACCCCCAATCAAAATCAACACGAATAGGACGATCATCAAGAATTTTCCCACAGATGTACTTGACTGAATCTTCAGCATCTTCTCTTGAGTAGTACCTGATAAGACCAAGGTTTTAAAGCTATTTGCAGCAACCAAACATTTCTGCCTTATCTTTTTCTCAAATGAAACACTAACAAATTTAAGGTATTCAGATAACAGTACCAACTGTACAGTAGCTTGCAGGAAGATGCAAGTAGTTCAGCCAAATTTGCTCAGTGACAATGATAATAAAAATTGTAGAAATATAAAGAAGCATTTTTCTGAATCGTCTACTTTTCTTTGCTGTAAAATAACATAAAAATCATCATTGCAAAGATACCAAACTCAGCTTAACAAATAAGCAAATCTAATATTCTCACAAGAAACTACAGCTACCACTACCAACAATATTAATCAAAAGTTTTATGGCATAATAATTTTTGGTTATGTTTTGCATATTGGATTAGGTCATATAGAGAATTTAGCATTGAAATTATATTGGATAATACTAGGCAGATAGGATTATTATGAATTAAGGTGGATAATATTATTTAATGTTTCATTCAAAAAATAGATATTTGCATTGTCATCCCATATAACATACTGCAGATGTTACAGGTGGCTTTGGGGTGGATAATATCCATTATAATGGTACACTAAATTCTTTATATATTCTAATCTGATGAGCCAAAAGCAACCTTTATGTTGCATATCTATTGCTGAGAGAAAACAAAAGGATAAAACTATAAAATGAAAATAAGTTATGGTGCACTAGCAAAACACTTAGTTAATCTGCTGGAAGAGCTTACAATAAGAAGCAGAAGCCACAAGGGGTTTTTGTATTCTTATCTGCACCCATTGTTATCTTTTTAATCTCTCCTGCTCGAGAGAGTAGCTCGTAAACTTGCTCCTCCGTTGTGTAAAAGGACATATTCCCCACATATACCATGGTAGAATTTTGCAGCGCCTCATCTAACTCTTCTTGTGTCCCAGGAAACCTTCTATCCCTGTACACTGAAAGCTTATTTCATAGAGCAACAAGAGGGACTAGCCGCCAAGGGTTTCATCACCCTCTTCGCACCAATTAATCGGGTGTTGCAAATTGCAGTGATTTCTACAAAGATAAATCATCTTGGAAGGTAGTATCAGATTTATTTGTGTGAAAACGAGCTTTATATGCTGATCTAATTGTTGTGAATGATATAATTTCATATTGTTTAAAACTGTTATCTCATACTTCCTGTGGATCTACAAGGATGACGGATATGAAGAGGAAAGTCAGAGATGAAAACAATCATAGTAGTAAAAAAGGGAGAGAATTTAAGAACGGGAAGAGGAATAATTCAAGCTCGAAGAAGAAGGGAAAGGAGCAAAATAGGCCTAGGCGTGGGCCTTGCTTGCCGAATGCGTTGCAAAAAGAGCTCAATCTCTTAAACCCTGCAGTTGAAAGGGGATTTTCTGATGGTGAGGAAGATATTAATTTTGACGATACAGTTGGCAATGATGTGTATGAATATGAAGAAGGCGTTCCGGAGGAGGAATTAAAGAAGAATAAACGGTTCGACCCCGTTGACAACTATGAGTATGAGCTTCCTGAAGATTTTGAGGTCTTACTCTGTGCATCCATGTGTTTTACTCTTATGTTTAAGTTAATCTTTTGTCTTTTTTTCTAATGAGGTTTTTAATTTTCACACAATCGCCCCTCAATGACATTTGAGGAAAATATATCTTAAATAGAATAGAATTTCCTTATTTTCAGATTACATATCTATTCCCAATCTTAATTATTAATTGTTTTTGGATCATAGGATGAGAATGTAGCATCCGATGAAGGCGAGGACAATGAAAATGAGGATAATCAGAAAGAGGATGATAATGAGGAAGATGAGGGAAGGCATGCGCGAATGTTGCAAGATATCACTGGACTACCTAGCTCTGCTTTTGATGGTATTGCTCTGTTTCGTATGTTTCTTTGTTAACTTGTTGGTGTAAGTGATGAAACTAAATGTAAGGATTTATTCTGTGTGAGGGTCTATGGGTTGTAATGCAAGATTCGCCCATTTATTCAGCTGATTGTTTTAGAGTTATAAGGTTAGGCATATTAGAGGAAGCAGTTTATTTAGACATTTTCCCTAGGGTTGTGTAAACGGCTTATCTTATACTGAGAGGCATTATCTATCCTGCACTTTGTCCTTGTAGCAAAATGGAAATATTGCTCGCATTAATTCTTTTCAAATTTCAAAATTATGATGCGTCCTCTCCCTCCCTCCCTCCCTCGCTCTTCATCTTCCTCTTCCTCTTCACACATCCGCAACATTTTCTCAAGTGCATCTAGTTATCAAATTTCAGTAGGTTTTTTAAATATTTGCTGAAAAAACTAATCAAGTACCAATTGCCAGGTAAAAAGAGGAGGAAAGAGCTTATCATATCTGAACTATATCCAGAATCTGAGTATAATCCTAGTCGTGATATTCTTGATGGAGATGGCCGGATCAGCATTCATGACCTTTTGGACCCGCTTCAGGGGAAGTCTGGCTTCAGCAAACTTAGGAAGAACTTCCATCGAATTGAGAATAAGTCTATGCCAATTCACACACCAATTCCGAAACCAGATCAAGAGAGATTGGAGAGAAAGGCTGCTTATGAACAATCTAAGAAGGATATTACCAAGTGGGAACCTCTGGTCAAGAGAAACAGAGAGGCACCTACTTTATATTTTGATGAGGATGTAGACTTAGGATTTTCAACTGTAGGAGCAATAGCTTCCGAATTTGAACCCAGAACTGATTTCGAGAAGAAAATTGCTTCCTTGGTGAATGATAATGAAGTCGTGGAAGCTCACAAAAAAGATGGTGCCAGGCTTCTTGAACTGAACAAGGTAAGGAGGTCATATTTATACATTCTGGCATTCCCTATCAAAATATATGATTGATCCTCATTTGTGGTTATTGTTCTTATGTGCTATTATATTATTGTAAAAGCAGCACAAATGATGATAAATCGACAAGTTTCTTTTCTCGATGCCATTTTGCAGATATCTGTTGAAGATGTGAAAGATCGTCAGGCCCGGCTGGCTAAAATGCGTAGTCTACTTTTCCGTCATGAAATGAAGGCGAAGCGAATAAAAAAGATCAAGTCCAAAACCTATCACCGGTTGTTGAAGAAAGATAGATCGAAAGCATTGGAAGCTGAGATTCAATTGGATCCGGAAGCTGCTAAAGACCTTGCAATGAAACAAGAGTTCAAAAGAGCTGAGGTATTGGAATATCTATGACATGATGTGATTACTTTATGAGTTGGGCTTAACTTTTGATTTCACTTTCGATTCTTGAGAATCAGCTGGTGCATTACAATCCTTCTTGTTTCACGCAGGAACGCATGACTCTGAAACACAAAAACAGCTCCAAATGGGCGAAGCGCATCTTAAAACGTGGTCTGGATGTCCAAGATGAAGGAACCCGAGCAGCTATAGCTGAACAGCTTCATCAACATGCTACTTTGACCAGAAAAATGAAATCTATGAAAGATGGTAGTAGTAGCGATGAGAGTAGTGATGAGGATGACATTGAGGAAATCTCATCTGGTTCTGATCAGGACATTGCATCAAAACTATTCGTGAAAGCAAAAGAGAAGACACTTGAAGTGCTGGAAGGGGATGAAGAAGTGCCTAAATCTGGAGTGCTTTCTTTACCATTTATGGTATGTTCTGTGCATTTTTCATATCAAAAATAGTATAATATAATGTAACATATTCATATGCTTGTTTACTTGAACAGGTTCGTGGGTTGAAAAAGAGAAAAGAGGCTGCTGACGAGGAAGCAAGGCTTGCTCTTGAAGATTATGAGTTATCATTGAAGCAATTGGAAGGTAAAGGTGGGGAACAAAGTCATGACATGGGTGCCATAAGTGGCAGAAGAGTTTTTGGTGTTCCTAAAAAGCAGGTTCAGGAAACAAGTAAGAAGATCAATACAGATAATTACTATGGCGACAGTGATAGTGAAATTGATGTTGAGACCCAGGAAGGTGAGGAGCGCGAGCAGGGAAACGGTAATCTTTCTGTAAGAGAAGTAAACATTGACCCTGATTTTCTTCGTGAAGAGTCTGAGATCAGTCATGATCCCGTGTTTAAGGTGATCTATCTTCCTTTCAACTTGTTTTATCCCCCCTCCCTCTCTATGTGTTTATTTATTTCTCGCTTTAGAATTGAAGGGTCAGTAGACATTCATTCATCTCTTTATTTAATGTCAACCCACATAGTTTTATGGTTATTTCTTTGTGGTTTATAATGCTTTTTCACAAAGGGGGCCAGTCCAAGATCTACTGTTCCTCTTAAAAAACAATTGATGCTCTCAATGGAAAGGTGCCACTCTCTCACTGTTATTTCAGCTCATTTATGATTTTGTCTTGCGAAGAACAGCCACCCCCAACCAAAAAAAAAACCTCAGGCCATCTCAGCAAATGGAGAAGAATCTGAAAAGGAATGCATTTGATTGGCTAAGAAAAAGAAACCTTTGTAGTCTCAGCCCCCATTGGGCCCATCCACAACACAGCGCATCAATCTGTGCTGGTCTCTGAATGCTATAAGGAACTTCTTTTCATCCTTTTGGACACCCATACCTTGGGACACTTTTCCAGGCATTCAGTTTAATTCTCAAATTCCCTTATTCTACTTAGCAGCAAGGAATTTATTAATTAAACAGGTCTATAAATTACCACATTATGTGTTGGGGTCTCTAAAATCCTATATTGACATGTGACTCATCTCTAAATCTGTGTCTTATGTCTCTCCATCCACATGTTTATCTAGTGATCCTTGTTTCAGTATGTGTAATATATGTTTTAAATTTGTGGATTTCTCAGAATTTTGAGGATATACTTAAAGTCCCTGGACCCAATGCAAATTATGAAGTTGCTATTTTTGCTTCTGACTCTTGGAAAAAGGTTAGTATTGAAAGGTTGTGTTTTTAGTCATTTTGTTTATTGCTTAAATGGGGAGCTTACTGCTTTTAATCTGGCCAATTTTTGATAAACAATAGAAACAGAATCTATTAGATGGTAATGAGAAAGCTGCCAACAGAAATGTTGGGAAGTCTTTTGTACCTGCAGGACCCTCAAAATATGACCAAACCATAGAGGTATTTCCTGTTCACGTATAATCATGCTATCATGCATAACCATTTCTATTGGCTGGTGCATATTTATCTCTCTCTCTCTCTCTCTCTCTCTAACAGGAAGAGGATGACAACGATGATACAGATAGTGGAGAAGAGATGGTGGATGGAATTATATCTTCAGGGACTAAATCAACTTACGAACTTCCATCTCAAGAAGAACTTATACGCCGTGCTTTTGCTGGTGATGATGTTGAAGAAGAATTTGAGAAAGATAAAGAGGCGATGCTAAATGAGGAGAATCCAGAACCTGAAAAGCCTGTTTTGCTTCCTGGCTGGGGCCAATGGACTGATATACAGAAAAAGAAAGATCTACCTTCTTGGATGCAGCAAGAGCACGATATGGCCAAAAAGAAAAGGGAAGAAGTCCTCAAGAAGAGGAGGGATGCACATCTTAATAATGTTATCATCTCTGAGAAGTTGGATAAAAAGGTTAGTGTCGGTCTCTAGTTTTTTTCTTTATTTCTGAAAAATACATGCTTTGTTAGTTCAGCAATGACTGATGGTCAAATGATCATATGGTGGAAACCCAGGTGGATGCCACTTTCTGATGGCATGACACTTCTTTTCTTTCACTTCTAGAAATTTTAAAATAGAATTCATGTTCTATTCATACTAGCTAAAGATGTGATTGGTCAGAGAGAATTCGTTGGAAAAGTAAGACACAGAAGAAATAGATGTGAGGAAATTTGATTTCCAATGTTTTTTGTTGGGAAATAGGACATGGAGAAGAACAAGGTAGGAAGTTAATTTCACTTCTTTTCTAATGACACGTGGCATATTTCCAGTACATATTTACATGAGATTAGATATAGAACAACAAAAAACCTAATTATTTGGGGAAATGATATATATATATATATCTACTTGTGAAAGCCAAATTTTTTTTTACATATTATCCATTCATGATATCAAACATGAGGAAAGAAATGGGTTTTCTTCTCCGAAGAATGGAAAATGAGGTGCAACACTTTTCTTCCGAACTTTGATTTTTCACATTCACTTTCTTTGTCACTAGATACCTATTGTAATTAATAGGATTGTCCTTTTTGGTCAGTGCTCTTACTTGAGTAGGATTTAGTGGCTTCTTCATGAGAATGGTGCGAGGGCTTGCATTCTCGAGTCACACTTAATGTTCCACTATTTATTCAAGGAAATCATGCATTTGTACACTTTTCATGTGTATCGTACGTAGTTCATGTTTTGCTTTACACGGATTTATTTTGTTTTTTTAGGCTGAAAAACTGCATACAAAGACTCTGCCTTATCCCTACACATCAAAGGAAGTTTTTGAACAGAGTATTCGGATGCCAATTGGACCTGAATTTAATCCTGTCACAGCAGTTGGAGCTCTTAATCGTCCCGAGGTTCACTTTTAGAACATTTGTCTTCTTTTCTTTTCTAAGTTTTCTTCTCTAAATCTTATTGCATTCATTCTCCTATGGTCACTTGCATCTACCAGTGTAGGATATAAAAAGAGCTTTTAGTTGCATAACAATGGCATATTTCTTCTTGTCACGAGCTTAAAAAGTTCACTTATAAATTTTCACTTTTACTTATTGTTCTTAATAAAATATGCCACAATGAGTTGTTTTTAATTGAAACAAAGTTGAAAAACAAATACCTATCATTGGTCAAAGTTGGAAATAGCTCTTTTTACTTAAAATTAAGTTAATCAAAGGGTATGTTTGTAGACAAACTTTCCTTGTCAAGCTTTAACCTGGCATGCTCTAAGTTTCAATTTAGCACTTGTAGCTCACGTTTTGGCTACTTATGGACAGGTGGTAAAGAGAGCTGGTGTGAGCATCAAACCTATCAAATTTCAGGATGTTAATCCCCATGAAAAAGTGGAAAACCGTAAGCGCAAGAGACAAAAACCAAGCAATGGTAAAGATGAGAGTCGATCTACCAAAAAAATGAATGTGAAGGAGATAAAAGCAAAGTGATGCTGAAATTTTGGCCTAACAATATCAGTCTGAACGTTGTACTAATGGTTTCTTTTGCATTTTTCAATTTCAATATTTATATTTTAAGATATGCCCGAGATGTTTCATTCAACCAAGTAGAATTTCCTACTTGCAATTTACTTTCTTGTGTTCGAGAAGGTTTTGTGCTTCAATTTAGTGGTAGTGATTAGTTTATCTCCATTTATGGAACCGTAACAAATTTTTGAGGAGCAATCAAGTGTCATTGGATTGGAGTAGGTTCTTCCTGGTTCACTTGCCCGTGTGTATTGTTCTTGTACAGATTTTGGACATGAAAATTCACTTGACAATGCATAACCAGTTCATGACACGACCCGTCCCAATTTAACCTAATTTAGTCGACATGTGTCGTGCGTCGATGGTAGATGCCAACTAAATGTTGGACCCGCCACCAAGGCAAATGTGACCTACTTGATCATGACATAATTCTATAAAAAATTGACAGTTTTTCCCGTAATATGGACAAAACCAACATGAAAAATTATCAAAACCTCAAATAGACATTTAAACCAAAAGTTTTGGAAACCACCACTTCCTCTAATACCACAACAACTGCAACAAAATATAATAAAATTCGACTGAGTGCTTCTACAACATCATGATGTCAACATGCAAGCATTACATCAATTACAAATCTTTCTACGAAGTGCATGACACACCAAATATTAGATAAGTACTTAATAAACTTGAGTCCTTCAACTATACATTACATACTATGAATCGATCTCTTTCGCTTCATTAGACTTTTTCCAGTATCTCAAAATCAACGATCTCCTGATAGAAAAGCTTGATGAAAATATATGAGTTTATAACTCAGTGAGTGAATGATTTCCAAATAAGTAAACTTTTTCCATTTATGCATATTTTCTAAAAAAATTCCAATTTTATTAAATCCTTGAGAAATTCTGAATCTAGTAATAATTTCAAAAATTAGACATGATTACATTATAAAATTCTTTATTCTAAATTCTAGATAAGTATCTGTCTGAAAACTGAATTAACTGACTTCCATAATCTGAAATCTGAGAACTGAATAAATACTGAAAAATAACACAAAAAAGAGTACCCAATGAATAGCCTTACTCATATACAGAGTAATCTCGATGTACAAGGCAAAGCCATTCAAATCTGATAATCTGATAGCTGATAATCTGGTCATACGTACGCAGAGCTGTCCCAAAGGCTAATCAACCTAGTACACGGCCCAAAGCCTATGTGTGTACGAGAGTGGGTCCCAAAGACCTCTGATAATTTGGTCATACACTATGGAAACACATTCACGATAGTGCAGAGCGGGTAAAATCACTATAACTAGTCATACACTGTGGAAACACATTCACATCAGTGCAAATTGGGGTAAAATCACCTAGGTACTTTCTGGTGGTTTTTAGAAATAACTTTAACTATACTGAAACATGTAATAAGAATATAACATGCTACTAAAATAATTTAACTGAAATGAATTTAACTTTAAAAGAAATTGATAATAAAATCCATTTTATTCTGAAAGTCATGTTATGAAGTCAACTTTATAAAATAAATAACTTTAAAATTTAATGAAGGCTTATTTCTGAAAAATAAGTTTTATATCCACTCACAAGGTAGGAACTACAAGCTAGATTACCTGATAAACGTTTCCAATTTTCTCGTCACCACTTGAAATACGATATTAATAACCAATTTATCCTCTATCTAATCAAGAAACCTTAATATCTAATGATAGAACTTAATTTAAATTCTCTTGACACTTAAATAAATTCTCAAATTTTTCTTTATTAATTGGAGCTAATCACACTTTATAATCCCTTGACTAATAACTAATTATCAACATAACCTTCATTTCCAAGTTTAAAACTAATTTTACTGTCCAATCTAGTGAAACTAGTAACCATAATTCCACCAATTTAATATACATTTGTTCCATAAAATCAATTCCCAAGTGAAATATTCCATTTATATAATCATCTCCACAATTAATTAATCAAAATCCCAAAATCGGATTATAGGGTTTCCCAAAAAAAATAAAAAAAAATTAACATCTCCTTACCTCAATGTAGATAGAAATTCAAGAATCAATAACTTGAGCTCCAAGTAATATTCATCTCAACAAATCTGAAAATTTCGAGCCAAAATAAAACCCTAGAATTTTGGCATAAAATTTATCTACCTCTTGAAGAAAATAAAGAGAGGAAAAATGGAAATAGACCTTGAGCCACCTCTTTCATTTCTTCTTCTTTCTCCTTTTTTCCTTTTTCTCCTTCTTTTTCTTCCCATTCTTTCCCTTTTTCTTTCCTTTTCTCGTTTCTGCCGATTTCTTCTCTGCAGTTTTTTGAGTAAATTTAACCAATAATCACTGAACTTTACACTTGATTACTACTTGCTCACTCATCTTTCACAAATTACTGAATACTCACTCGTTTTTTCATATGATTACTCATTCACCACTCGTCTCTTCAAATAATTGGACGACTTTTACGGCAAATTTTCGACAACATTCGACTACAAAGAATGTCGAATGTTGATACCGTTGGAAAGCCCGCGATATCCTCTTCAATTACCACCCAAAATCTCATTATAACTCTAAGAGATTCGATCGAAAAATTGCCTAAAAAATTGCCCAAAATTTTTGAAAATCCGCCCAGATTTTCAGATTTTTTGGGTAATTTAAAAAAGCAATTTTTCGGCAACTTTCGACCATCAAAACTATCGATTTTTGATACCATTGGAAAGCTCACAATGTCCTCTTCAATTACCATCCAAAGTTTTCCCATAACTCCAAAGGATTCGGTCGGAATAAACCCACAAAATCAGCATCTTGAAAAGGCGAAAATCTCGATAAAGTTCGGGACCCTGACTTTGTGGGTTTATTCCGACCGAATCCTTTGGAGTTATCGGGAATTTTTGGATGGTAATTGAAAAGGACATTGTGGGCTTTCCAATGGTATCAAAATTAGATAGTTTTGATGGTCGAAAGTTGCCGAAAAATTGCCTTAAAAGTCGCCCAAAAAATCTGAAAATCTGCCCAGATTTTCAGATTTTTTGGGCGACTTTTAAGGCAATTTTTCGATCGAATCCCTTGGAATTATAATGAGATTTTGGATGGTAATTGAAGAGGATATCGTGGGCTTTCCAATTGTGTCAAAATTCGACATTCTTTGTGGTCGGAAGTTGTCGAAAATTTGCCGTAAAAGTCGCCCAATTATTTGAAGAGATGAGTGGTGAATAAGTAATTATATGAAAAGATGAGTGAGCATTCAGTAATATGTGAAAGATGAGTGAGCAAGTAGTAATCAAGTGTAAAGTTCAGTGATTATTGGTTAAATGTACTTGCCGTTTTTTTGTAGGTGTTGGTGTGTGTTTTTCAGAGAAAAAGGTGGTCAAATGTTGAATATAAATTCCACTTAATCAAAAATTGCAAGGAAAGTCCCCCAACTCCATTTTTGAGCGACATTTAATCCAATTTTCAAACTTTGAAATGTATCCAATTTAACCTTCATATTTTGCCAATTGCAAAATAAACCAAAATAAAATATTTAATTTCATTTTAGTCTTTAATTGACTTGATTTTGAAAATTTCACTATTGACTTTGACTAGATAAAAATGTGGTTGTATCAGTTCATGTGTAATTTCTTTTCAAGGGAATTGGTCTACAGGCTTTGAATTCCTATGATATTATATTTATTCATTTGTTTTTGCATTAAAGCATGTGCAATTTTGGTATAGTCGGTTCGGGCCGGCTATGACCGACCGTTCTTCCGTCGCCGGAAATTTTAGCAAGCCTGAGTACCTTTTTGTGTCAAAAATTTGTTTTAAATAATGAAGAATAAAAGCCATACACAACAATTTAATGCACAATTTCGCAAAACATGCCAAATGAAAAATCAATAGCTTAAATCCAAAGAATCCTAACCTTGTTGAAGATGACGGATGATTTTTTTTAATTTTTTTTTCCTCCTCTCTCTCTCTCTCTAGCCTTGTTGAAGATTAGGGTAAAATGGAGAGTTTGTAATTTATTTATGTAAATTCATTTTTTACTCTTTTTTTTAATTGGTCAAACACCAAAGTGGAAATAGGGCCGGGTCAACCGACCGTTTCCACTTATTTCCTTCTCCAAAGGGGAGAGTTTGGCGCATTGAAATTTACATACAAATTTTGCTTATTATGATTCATTTGGAGTCATATTTAGTTTAGCATGCCAAATATAACAAAAGTGGTATGTAACGTTCCCCCAGTTTTGATTAAGAAGTTTTCACAACAATGAGGCTTTGAGAAATGAAATTCACAATGTGTAGTAAAAAATGACAATCCACAATTAGGGAATGTGAGCAAATGATTTTTAGCTTGTAGCATGATCGATATGTGTTATATTATTTCTCTTCTAATCATGCTTCCCGTGCAACCGTTAGTTCCAACTTGGCACAATAGCACGGGCTCTATTTTTAGGTCTCGATGTTGAGGATGTATAAGAAAAAAGTTACTTGACATAAGTGTTTATTGCAAGATGGTAGTAACTTGTATATGCTCTTTTGACCAATTAAATGATATAAATATCCCCCTATTCATTTAACCGTGTTAAGAAAACTGTTATAAACAATAAAAGAATTTAAAGGGACTATAATTTAACAAATTGCAAATGCTAAATGTTCCCTGGGGTTATTGCTTCAATACTATCTGACTATGCCAATATTGATATACCCGAGGAATTTATTCCCGAGGACTCAATACATACCCCCACCTCATTTCTCTTCTTCGGTCCTCGAGGTCATCTAAGTCCTCGAGATATTGTAGTCCTCGAGGACACTTTTACATTCCCTCAATGTCCTCGAGAATAGTCCTCGAGACATACACCACCAACATACCTCCTAAGACCTGGGTACCTAACTAACAAACCTAAACACCCAAGGATTCTACATCAACCCTAACACCACTTGTCAAACAATTCCATTACAAGTAGGACATTCTTTATAATAGAAATTCCCTTGGATAAAAACATCCAACCAACACAATCCTACTAGGAGTACACTACCTACTCCTATAAAAGCAGAACCTTGGGCCATTATTCAGGTACGTTTTCTCATTGTTCTTCAGCATATAGCCTCACGCATATATTTCCCTTTCTGACTTAAGCATCGGAGGGGCGACGAGAACACACCTCGTTGCCTTTGTTTCAGGTATCGGAAGATCACGTTCGTGCTCCTCACCAGTCATCAAGCTCGGGAAATCTACAGGTACGATTTTTGGTA